GAAAGTTTTTTGAGTATGTCCTACTATACTCTTCGATGAGAATAACTTAATCTAGGCTCTAGCTAAAGCCTAGATTAAGTTGATTCAATTCTAGCTAGAATTAACTCAACTAGAATTAACCTTAATCAGATACTTATTATATACAACACATATACACATATACATGAAAGTTGTTGTGCAAATATATATCGTCATACAATTTACATAGTTGATATGTCACACTCACACACACACATATAGGAAACAAGAGCGTTCACGTAGGTTAATGTATCATAACTCCTTTCCCTAGTTGGCGGTCAGGTTTCATTTTTCCAAGTAGCGATATCTACACCTTCATGCAAAAAATCATGTGTAGAAAACCTGATAAAACGGAGGGTAATGACCCAGGTAGATAATATGCACCTCTCTCATATTTCCGGAAGCAGATTTTGTTCAGACTTACAGAAAATACGCATGACCCACCATCCACTCATCTAAACCCAAACGTAGATTCCCCTCATCCTACAAAAACATCAAAAGTTGGGGAATAACTAGGAACTACTAGCAAATATGCAGATTTCGTGCATGAGCTACTATCAAGAACCAAGAGAAGTAGTGGAAAAGCGGGCATGCTCGAGGAAGCAGCACGAGCCCCCAGGTGACGTTCCAACAATAGACAGTAGCGACTCGACCACTGCAGCAGCAAAGAGCAGCCTCCCCTTCCCCTTCCTGCACACAAGATTTCCCACGGCAACCTCCCGGCCGAGTACTGCATCACACCTCAAAAGCATGCCCGAACCCGATCCATGCCCACGTATTCTCCGCTTGTGACACCCGGAACCGAACCATATCCAAAGGGACAAAACCGAAACCCGAAACGAACCCAAGTCGCCTCTGAATTGATACCCGACTGACCCGAATGAACTCATCTCAATTGTCATTGTCACCTATGACAAACCTCGAGAGTAATGGATGAAGAGAACAAGTGCGATTAGCACTGTGTCAAATCAAAAAATACTCCACGACCTTTGTACAAAATAACCATAATTTACAATTTTAAACGTAACTCTATTTCTAAACCATATTAAGAAAAGTCCAACCCGAAACCGAACCGGACCTTTCTAGCTTGGTCCAAACCCGAACCATATCCATCGGTTCGGGTTTCGGGTATGGGTACCCGATGCAGTACTCTGCCTCACGGTCAGGTTATACACTCTCTCAGCGATCCTTCCACTTGCCTCTCACGGTCACGTTATACACTCTCTCAGCGATCCTTCCAGTTGCCTCTCAGGTCAGCACCCTCACTCTCTCTCAGCAATCCTTCCTATTGCCTTTCAGGTCGGCACTCTCAGCAGACCTCCTAGCAACCTCACAGTCAGGTTGTACACTCTCCCTGAGACTCTCACCGCAAATCCCCCGCTCATTCCCTGCACCACCCCCGATTTTTTGAACGAATGAGCGCCAACCGCCGCGACCCTGCACAACACCCGAGCCAGCAGCCGGGAACCCAGCGGCGGAAATCCTAAACTCCGCCCCCAGATCTTCAACACCTGGCAGCCGCCAGGTGCGGCCAACCAAGATACCCGGACGCCGCTAGTCACAAACGACAACAACAGCGCAGCCACAACCCCCCACCGTTAGCCGCCAGGTGCAACCAACAACGGTCGCACAGACATGCAGGTCCGACATCCGCACCCACACACTGTTATTCCTCAGTCTTCTTCTCCTTCCCTTTGCTCTCCCTCCCTCACTTCTTTAACTCCTTCCTTACTTCCTTCCTTCACTTGCCCTTGACCAATCTTCCTACGCCGTGTGTGCCAGGTCGGCCGCTCGCTCACGTCTTTCACAGCGGAAGCCAAAGAAGTGAAAGCCTTCGCAATAAACCTCGACTCTCGCACCACCACCTCCTTGCCGTCCCAGTCAACCTCCTACCTATATCTCTATCCGCACCACCTCCAAAACCTACTCGTGCTACCTTCTGTGACCTTCCGACGACCATCACTCTACATGCAATCTATCAATAGAAAAATCAATCAATCAAACTCTCCTCCTCCCTCTCAACCACGTCGGTTCCCTTCCTCTCTAATCACTCTCAGCATTCTGGAGAAAACCTGGCCTATCTCTTCCGAAGTATTTTTCTTGCCTCTGCATAGTCGCCAAATCCTTCTCCAGTACGCTGCTTCCTCGTTGGCTTGGACCTGGCATATTCCTCAAATAATGATCTGATTCCACATACGGACACAAGGATGCTTGCCATTTTAAACACCAACCAATCACCCATAATCATGCTCTCCCGCCTCTTAGCCATTGCCTGAACTCATAATCTTGTTAAAATTATCAAGAAACTTCAAGCATAATTTCCCAAGAATTTAAATCCTTAATTTTAATTCTCATAATGTTCAAATGACATGAGAACGAATTTTTGTGCTTACATGGAACATGGACATGCTTCTCACACGGAACTGGAAAAGTAGAGTACGTAACTGGACCTATGTCTATCATCCTTCAAGTATATAAAGATGGGAAGCTGACCAAGAATGTGCAACCTAAAATGTGGGTCGTTGTATTCGGAGTACTAGCTTTGATCTCCGGCCTGGCTACTTATGGTTACCACACAATGCGCACAATGGGAGTGAAGCTTGTGAAGATCACCCCTACTCGTGGATTCTGCGCTGAGCTTGCCACCGCAATGGTCGTCAGTAGTGAATATATAGCCAACGATTGTTCAAGGCTGTTCCTCATTTCACCGACTCAAACTGATTTGAATTTGATCAAATTAGAACTGACAGTCGCTGCACTTTTCGCACTGGTGCCTTTTGGATAAATTTCAAATGAATTGACATGATTCAGCCAGTAAGATGTTTTACTTGTTTCTAGCTGATTCATAGACAGGTTCACTTTTGAAATCAGCTGCGTCGATTCAGAGTCAGTGCTAGTTCAGAATCCTGATGAACAAAGTCTTGATGACAATGTTATAAAACAGGTACTTTACTCGCCCTCTGTCATTGACGCCAAAGCAGTAGTCTCGTTCAAGACGGAGCTAACCAGCATCAACACGCAATGGTACAAGGAATTCAACACGACCCTTCAATCCTACAAGGAAGCCAGTGCTGCCGGAGTCGTAGACCGTTACCCAACGCTACATGGGTCGAGCTCAACGCAACTCTTGCCAAAAACGCCAAGGCTGCCAAGGACTTGGGCGACTTCAAGAAATATGCTGCTAGTAAGTCAAGCTGCAATATCAAATCTATTTTGCAATCGTGAATAGAATTATGTAGGCTTTCAAATGATCATAATATAACGAGAGCTGTCTGTGATTGCAGAAATACCGACAGCGTACATCAATTCGCTGAACCCTCTGTTTGCGCTCTACCAAGACTACAGCATTCTTACGATCGGGCAAAACGACGTATACAATGGGTCTCTGACGTGCAACATAATATCATCGCAGACATAGCAAATGGTACACGAGTCGCGTGTATTGCTACGAAGCTTGTCGATCCAGGACCAAGTTGAAGTAAGCTAGGATGCAAGCAATTTGAGAGCATTTCACGCATATTACCCACATTAGACCCAGATATCTTGCAACCGAATTCCAGATATGTGCAACCTTGATTGGAAGTTGTAGCTAAGTAAAATTCTTCATTTTTACTGTGTATGAGTTATAGTACAGATTCGAGATGGGTGTGCAAAATACGTACAAAGTCTGTAGAGCATGTAACTACTCTCGCAGTTTCTGGTGAAGGTTTGTTAAAACTTACTACCATTTCAGTTCCAGGACAATTTTGGCTGGATTTTGAGCATGTGCAAAGCTTTCAACGGCAAAATCAGCAATTTTACCGCAAGACAGAAGCATCTGTCTCTTCAAAGGAGGAGGAGGATTCTCACCCTTGCTCGGGTGATCTTTCTCCAGGATTTGTAGCATGTGACCCTCTCGGCAAATTGGGCGAGCGAGAGCCAGGTCGCCGCCACCAGAGTGGCCAGCAAGAACGCCAAGAGTAGAACACAGGCCATAGGTACCACAGAATTTGAGAATAGGAAGAGAGATGAGGTGCGAGTGTTGCTGAGAGCTGTCAGTGTGATACAAAGCAGCGGAGTTGTGTTTATATAAGGAAAGGTTGGATTTGACTTCTGACCCGATGGCCTTGAGTCTTGCCAAAAAAGTTGGAGTACCAGCAGTCCAGCAGACTTTATAAAATATAATCATGAAGCGAGTGTGTCTTGATTCGAGACCTCGATTGACTCAAGGAAAGATTCCTTTCTGGTTCTGCATTGATGAATCTTGGACCGATTTGGAGGTAAGTAACTTCTGTAAGTCTGAAGCAATTTCAGAAACGAATCTATTGATAATTGTGCTGAAATCGTCAAGCCATTTCCGAGCTATTGACTCTGTAAAGCCAAAGAAGTCTCCTTTGGACTCGGAAGTTATCTGATGGCCACACAAGAAGTGGCGTTTCTTTCCCATGTCGATCTTCAAAAATATAGAGTCCAGATGGATGATAGACAACCACGACGCCCGCATACACGTTTGAGGTTGGATCATAAACTATTCTAAAATATTTTCTTTGCTGAGCATGTGAATCGCAGACCCACATACTGGGCAGTTTGAATCAACAGCAAAAGAGGATATTGTTTCCGATTAGTGAACAAACCACCGCTCCCAATCTCAGCAAGGTGTTTTGCAAGCTTTAAAATCACGATCCTCATATATGGTTCCATAATACTTCTACTGCTTTCATTTTCATAGCCAAATGGATGGCAAGCCACGTAGCAGTGCAGTACAGTTCATGAAGCAAGGCATCGATTGCCTGAATGACAAAGTTTCCCATCTAGAGTTCGAACTTTTCCAGCATATATACAGTTGTGGATTTTCAACTGTGCACCAGTCGTCTATTGAACGTATAAGAGTAAATATAAAGAGAAAATTTTGCAGATATCTCAGCTCATTTAGTAAATTGCAAAATATTACTGAGCTAAATTTCATCCCTGGTACATGACCATAAGAAGACATCCATTTGGAGAGAGATTGAATTTCATGAACTGATCCTATTTGCAATGGAGAAGAGAGAGATGCTTCTGTCTTCTGGTACATTTGTTGGTTGTGGCGATGAAAGATTCAGCTAGTCTAGCCCATGCTCAAACACGGGCAAAACTATACGGCAACTATATTTTTGAAACGAGTCCGAAACGAGTCCGAAACTTTCAAGGCAATTTGAGAATAAATCAGAGTACCTACGTGCTTCGCAGACATTGTACATGTCTTGCAAGCCCATCTCGAATATGTAATATAATTCAAAAGTAATACAGGAATTTTCTGACTTATATACAACTGCCAAGAATGTTGAACATATGTGGAATTCCGTTGCCAGATCTCCAAGCCTCCTGTGGGTCATGTGCTCTCACATAGTTTGCTTCAAGGCTTACTTAAACTTGGTCCCTGGATCGGCAAGCTTCGGAGCAATACAAGCGACTCGTGTACCATTTGCTATGTCTGCGATGATATTACTATTGCACGTCAGAGACCCGTTGTATACGTCGTTCTGCCCGATCGTAAGAATGCTGTTGTCTTGGTAAAGAGCAAACAGAGTGTTCAGCGAATTGATGTAGGCTGCCGGCTTCTCTGCAATCACAGACAGTTCTCGTTAAATGATTATATTTTCAAAACCTTCTTACTTCCTGAGGATTGCATTAAAGGTTTGAGACTGAAGCTCGACTTACTAGCAGCGTATTTCTTGAAGTCACCCAAGTCCTTGGCAGCCTTGGCATTTTTGGCGAGAGTAGCGTTGAGCTCGACCCATGTAGCGTTGGGTAAACGGTCAAGGACTCCGGCAGCACTGGCTTCCTTGTAAGATTGAAGGGTTGTGTTGAATTCCTTGTACCATTGAGTGTAGATGCTGGCTAGTTCCGTCTTGTAGGAGATCACAGCTTTCGCGTCGATGGCAGAGGGCGCGTAAAGTCCCTAGTCCACGACATAACCATCAGGACTGTGGTCCTCAGCATTCTGAACTAGTCCTGACTCTGATTCATAAGCAGATTACTTGAAGCTTCAACCCAGAACTCCCGTCTACGAATCATTTTTTCCGAAATAAAAAGTAAAGTCTTACTAATTAAACTCTGTCAAATGATATTGAATTAATAAGAAGTCACCTGTGCGAAGAGTGCAGCGACTGTGAGTCCCACCACGACTGTGCTGACAGCCCATCCTACCACTTGTATGCCAAACTGCTTCCAGTTCACACCCTTGGATCCCTCGACCAATCCAACACCAACAATGGCACCCACAATGACCAGACTTCCAGATTGAGGAAGACCATACCTTTCAAAATAGATGGCTAGCACGGTTAGCAATTTCATGTCCAGATCAAATTAAAATCAATCGAAGACATGGCTAGAGCCATTATATTAACCAAGACATGATTTGGATAAGGAATTAAGCCACAAAAACATAGATAATAATTGACATGATTGATGTTCTTCCCATGAGTGCATTCTCATAGATATGATTTACATGAAAAACTACATCTGAGAAGGAAGCAAAAGAAGATTTGCATCTTCACATACAGAGCTTGTGATATAAAAATTAAAATCCAGTTCAGAAGCATGGTTTAAACCAGTGAATTGAGGAACACTTATGAATATCCAGTGGGAAACACTCACTGAGATGCAACCATGACGACCATTGCGGTTGCGAGCTCGGCGCAGAATCCACGAGTAGGGGTGATCTTCACAAGCTTCACTCCCATTGTGCGCATGGTGTGGTAACCATAAGTAGCCAGACCGGAGATCAAAGCGAGTCCTCCGAATACAACGACCCACATCTTAGGTTGCACATTCTTCGTCAGCTTCCCGTCTTCATATACTTGAAGGATGATGGACATAGGTCCAGCTGCGTACCCTACTTCTCCAGCTCCATGTGAGAAGATCACACAGATAGCTGAGAAAACCTGCCCAGGAATGGAGAAGACATGCAGAGCTCTTAAGTTACATGATCCAGATTCTGAAATGAATATTACAAATATCTGTCGAGAAAAGAAGCCTCTTGGAAGACTTACTTGAAGATACATGAAGGCATATTCCACTCTTGGCTCGAAAACCTCTGCGTGCTTGTGGATGTCTCCAACCGTTTGGTTTGTGTTGACCACGTTGTGGATATCTTGCGTCCATCCATGAGATATCACTTTCCAAATCTTGGATCCGAAACTTAGAGGTGCTTTGTCTTGTGTCGTCTTCTCCTCAGACTCCACAACTTTTCCTTGGTTCTCGCTATCCACTCCCGCAGTTAAGTCGAATTCCCCGATACGGTTACCTTCACTGAAAATCACAAGTTGTGAGTAATGATGTGATTAAAATTGCAAGCATAAAGAGGAATTTTAAATTAAACAATTTCATCCAAATATAATCTGAATGAAATGCACTGCATATGTTCAAAGCTGTCTGAAATAATATGTGTCGTCCTATGATATGTTTGAGATTCAAATCCGAATCAACTGCAATGTCAATTGGCACTGGGAAGAATTCTTACCTGTCGAACGTGGCATTCATCTTCCTGTATAAGAACGGAACGACAGTGATTGCAGACACAATAGCTGAACCTGCTGCTATGATAGCAGAAATCCACGCCGTCTTGGAGTATGACCAATGAACGCCATCTTTGTCCATCTGCTTCTTGGCTCCCTGCACAATCACAAAGATATCTCCGTCATACCAATGAACATTCGTGTATCTTGTCTTAATGAATCACACACTTTTTCCAGATTTTGACAATTTATGAAATCTTTGGGGATATAAACTTCTGGCGGATCTTGACCTTCGTGAAGATGAAGTACATGTTGACGAACACAGTGAAGAAGATGGTAGGTGGCAAAGTCCAGAATGCAACTTTGTAAGCGTTTTTGCGTCGCAGAACCAGTGTTCGGAGGGCTAAAAAGAGTAGCCCTGAACCCGCAGCAGCCAAGATTGGAGACATGATCCAAGATGTAGCAATGGAGACCACTCCCTTGTAAGGAAATGCATCGATGGAGTTGTCTCTTTCTGCCCAAATGATGGCGTCCTTGCCATCCCAAATCAAAGAGAATGCCACGATGCCACCGACTGGAATGCATTCCAAGACCAGTTCCGCGAAGTTAATTTTTTTGCTTGACACATAAAAAGTCCAGATGTAGAGCAAGATCGCATAGTCAATAGGAGAAAATTTTTAAGAAGATGAAATCGACGGTTACTCACCGATGAAATGAGTCCCAGAGACATTAACTCCAATTCGAGATGCCACCGCCAGCCAGAATGAGCCAGCCGTGCAGGCACAGATCATCCCATAAGCATACACCTCAGGATTTCCAAGAAAGCTGTTCAGATCAGCAACTCCACTTGCGATCGTGGACGTCACCACTCGGCCCAAAAGGATGGCTCCCAAGAAGTCGAAAACTATCGCAATCTGCAGGCATTGAAGTTAGAGTGAGATTCTTAATGATCTCATTACTTATGTCCCATGTTACATTTCGAGGATATGCTGAAGTCCTTGCAAAATCTAAAGCTCTGAGTAGTAAGCATTTTTGTAACTACGTCAGATTTAATTCTGAGGTATTGTTGCTTTTATTCAGTACGAATCCTGATATTGTGAAGAAGAGGAAAGTAAAGCATACAACTATTTCTTGAATGAAAGATGGCACTTACTAGAACAGCCTGACCCATAGTTAAGGTTTTACTTCCCACAGATGTGGCAAAGCCATTTGCCAGATCATTGGCACCTGCAAGTGATTACAACGCCATTAATGTCCTGCACATCTACTTTTTTCATAAAAGGGCTCGTGACTTGACAATGCTAGCTCTTCCTAAGGCGGAGTTGGTAACTACGATCATTGCGACTTTAAATTGAACGACTGAGCATAACTGCTATCTGCGGCCCATTCGACAACAACGAAGAGCAGAAGCCGGGGCTAATTCGACTATAACATTGAAATATCGATCGTAAGAGATTCAGAACTTACCATTACCCCACCCGAAGGCGAAAGCTACAAACGCCCCAACGATCACAAACCAAAGATACTCCGGCATAGCAGCCATTGCGTCGACAACTCCGAACTCTTAGACCACGAAGTTTGCAACTTTGAGTTAGGGACTTAGAAAATATCAGAGCTGCATTGCTGACCTTCAAGTGGGGTGATTGGAACGGTTGGTCCTGGAATCTTATATAGCCTCTCTATCACAGCAATAGTCATGATCATGTCCCTCAAATCTCATTACCAGGTACAACTGTTGACTTTGGCTCCTTCCACGCCTGACGGTTCCCCTCGTACAACAGTTTGTGTACCTCAAAGCTACGGACCGTACGACTGTCCAGGATCATCGGCTCCATCCTTACGTTCCTAATTATCAATAACAGCTGCATGGATCAGCGTGTCTTTAGTAGCTTGAGAATCTGATCGAGAAGAAATTGTCTCTTCTTCTGGAAGAACATTTTCCTCCTTGCTTTCCGTTCAAAATATTTCCGTAGGAAATTTTCTATCGACTGAGACTATGCTGGGATGAACATGTACCACAGGACAATAGTCGGCTCAATCGCTTTGCTGGACAGTGGCAAGCGTGGACTATGTTTAGAGGTCTGAGCGTGGCGGCGTGAGATATCTGTTAGATAACACGCGAGAGAGTGTGTCTAACACGAACCTTGAAAACAGTCAAGACTCGCAGCTGTAATTGTGTTTTGTGCGACTGATCAATCCAGCAATCCACATAGCTTTGAGGGCTGGTGGGTTTTTGTACTCTTTCATCTCACCTGAAATTTTGTGATTTTCCCTTGTAGTCCAGATCATCATTGTCCATGCTACACAGAATCGGCGAAGTCTATATAAATATCGAGATCATGAACAAAAACGTAAAAATGCCGGAAAAAATCGGTATTATAATATAGGAATAACAACTTGGCTTTTTCTCATGAACGATGCAATATGCCAAGAACTGACTCTTACGTGTTACCCAATACCATCGGCTCACAACAGAACCCACTTGACTCTTGCCTGCAGCTGTATTACTGTCTTATCTAATCTCATTACAAATATTTTGACACTGCTCCGCTGTTCTTCCGAGTCGCCCTTTCAAGTTATTTATGTACCTAATTTCAGTTTACTCTGATGCTATATCAACGACAGAGTCCACACTATAGATATAAATTCTGTAAATTTATATTGCGTACACAATATGGAGAGGATGAATGCGTCTGAAGAAGGTTCTTCTGGTGACCAGATGGAATGTAAACTGTTGACTCAAAGGTCAACTCACCAGTGGACTTGATTACATTATTGCTCGGATCACAAGTACGGAAGCTAGGCCCTGCCATATGGCAATGCAAATTCCCTGCTTAGTTTCGTTCGATCCGAATTCTGAGGTGAGGATTCTGAGGTTTTTCAACCGTAGAAATTGGGATTGACTTTGAATAGCTTGAAGTAGTCCAAACAATGCGCGCAAAACCTCTGCTCATACAAAGCTAACAGTTGCTGCTAAGGCTTTCTGTCTTTAGCAGACCAGTTCAAAGTCCGATCAACTCTCTTGTTACCTAAAGGCAAACAACTCGTTGGAGTTCTCAACTGAAATCATCATCCATTCACATCCAGTACTATCGTTGTGTAAAAAATGGCAGGCGATATGCCATTATATCTGGTTCCATATTTACAGTCCCTGCCTTTGTGGCTTTTTCGGTGGGTGGGGTAATGGTGAGTATCAACGTAATATTTGTAATGCAATATTATTATACAGAAGACGTTGTGTTCGTTGATGAAGATGATGACAACTCCTCCCCAGCTTCGGAGTTTTTATTAGTTGATCGTGTCAAAGAATCATTCCAAGGTGTTTTGAAACTCATGCATATGATAATATTTCTGCTTCCGGGGGCGAACGATTTGAAAGATGCATAAATCTGTAAGAAGTAAGACCCTCACTTTAGGTCAGTCCGTTCTACGAAGTAAGCAATTTGGCCTACGTATTATGGTAAATACTTTCAATGCATCAGCATGCATCAGGATATCACATGAAGTGCAGATGAAGTGCCTAAAAAGACTGTTCCTCCTAGCATGTGTTGGTTTCGACAAGATTTACAAGCGCTCGAGCCTTTTTTACTTCAATATTTAAAGGTCTACTGAACACAGTTCTGATCAACGATGGTAGACCTCTCATTTGGATGGGTCCATAAGGAATGATAGCATGCCCGTTGACTGCTGTTGATCGACTTCTTGAGAACTATTCTCAAGAGCCGAGTAGGCGCACATCACCTGTATGGAGCCCGAGTCAAACTATGTGAGAGCACATTTCCCATAATAGGCCTGGAGATCTGGCAACGAAAAATCGGATATGTGCAACCTTCTCTGCCGTTGTAGCTACTTCAGAAGTCCCATCTAACTTTGTTCTTCTGTAACTTGTTCAGGCTTCAGAAGAATCAGGAGTACGCGCTGATTGAAAGCAAGGAATGCGTTGGAACAAAACATGCGTTTGAATGTAATCGATCCAGCAATATATAGTGGCAGCAAGCAGTAATTTCAACTACCAAGCCTTTCAATTACTATTGCTTCACGTTGAAAGTAGACACTCTTCGGCAAATCAAGTAGTCCTGAAACTCACCTGTGAGAATCAAAGTGTCATTCGGCAGTTCGATATGCTCACTCTCCGCAATGTCTCGGAGGCGCCAATATTGAATATATATTTTCCAGTATCATGTTAAGTAAGGTTGATGTGACTTCTCGAAGATCTGCTCCTTAGCGTACATTTTCCGAACGGAAAGCTGAACCATATGTAGGTGTGAGGTTGCATTTGTTTACTTGAAAGAAGGTCAATTCATCTCGGTTCCACGGGAAGCTATGTGGACAAGGCTCATTTCGATTTCTTTCCGCTGGAAGGAAGCCATCAGCTTTGCCCCTGCGGACAATTTGAGAGGATGACACATGATGACGTTTCCGCAAATGTTGTGCGCTGAAACGTCCAAAACTGAATCATACTCGAGTTGCCAGAGTTCAAATTGTATATTTACTATCAATCCATTTAGATTCAAAGCATTCACGCTTTTTACATTAATTGGTTATTTATTGATTCACAATGTCAGTCTTTCCTTGAACAAGACTGCATTCTTATCGAGCGTGAAGGATAACCGGAATTCTGGAGAGAAAATCCGCTGACAATAAGCTCTATGCATTTGGGTCCATTTTGAACCTCCTGCATTCGTCCTCCACGAAGCCGCCCTGCTTGCCGTTCTCGCCGCCGGTGTTGCATTCGTCCGTGGGTCGTCGCAGCAGCCTTCCGCAGTCGTTCTCGTCCATTGTGAACGAGCAGCCCCGAGATGTCGATGTGGCCGGTCTCGGGAGACGGGAAGTCGTAGCGCTCGTCCACTTTCGGCCGTCGGCGAAAGTCTGACCTTTGTAGCGTGCGCAGAATGAGTTGATCGCGTTGATGATCTGTAGTGAGCCCAACGTTACATTTGTAAACTTTTTTTTCTAAATTTCAGATCAATGAGCACATTAAATGTATGCAATAGAATCTAAGCGATTCTAAGAATCTAAAATATGAAGTTTAATTGTGAAGAAGCAGGAGGATTCTCACCCTTGCTCGGGTGAACTTTCTCCCGGAGTTGTAGCATGTGACCCTCTCGGCACATTGGGCGAGCGGGAGCCAGGAGGCCGCCACCAGAGTGGCCAACAAGAACATGAAGAGGACAACACGGGCCATGGGTACAGCAGAATCTGAAAATCGATAGATTGATGAGTTGCGAGTGTTGGTGAGAGGTATGAGTGCGATTCATAGAAACAAAGTTGTGTTTATATAAGGTTTTGATGGCTCGGACTTCTGACCCGATAGAATTCACTTTTGTGCCATGGTCTTGCCTAAAAAGTTGAAGGACCAAGTGAGCTGAGGATTGATCGACAGGAGCCACATGTGTGTTATGATTGATGCAGACTTTAATTTACTCATTGGCACATTGGAAGTCAACTATGGACGAAGATGTCTACAGTAACCAGCCACTATAGTTGAAGTGATGTTATTTGCATACATTCTGATTAGGATTATGAATATGTTTTGGTTAGTATAACATATGTTTCACATGGTTATGAAATTGGGGTCATCACTGGTTCCTTGTAATGTTTAATGCGGTCTTACCACTCTTTGAATGTAACCTCCTGTTACATTACGTGAACCACTGACAGTATTATATAAAGTCAGATGATCAACTTTCGTAAAAGCGGCCTCGTATGCAGTGTCATTAGACGCCGGGACATTATGGCAGTCAATGTTACTCGGTTGATTTTTTTCAGTAGATTTCAAAAACATGCTAACACTTTGGAATCCGGAAAACTAGATTGCTACATAAGTTTCGCAGTGGTCCTCCTTCTCTTCTCAGTTCTTTCCAAGTAAACACTCTGACTAAAATATTTCAAAATCCTCCTCTTTCGAAATAATCTGCCAAAAACTTACCATTGCCATATAGTACCCACAGATGTACCATCTCCTAACTGGTTGAAAAAGCCCCGCAAACGCTTGACTTTAAGAATTATTGATCGAAATACCTTGATACTTACTGCATATTTACATGGCTCAGATGAAGAAAATTTCAAAAATATAAATCTCTTACTAGTTATTATGTTTTCTCCCAAGGATTCGATTTCATCCATGCAATAAGCTGGTGTTGAAAGCTGCTTCATTGCTAACAAGCCATAATTAATTTGAGATGGAAAAACCATTCCAAAGTTTATAATCTTCTCCCATGAATTTTTTGGTCATGAAAGTCTATCTAAACAAGGATCCATGGTATAGGAAAGATTTGCTGAAAGTCGTTCATGACCTCTAGATGTGGGTTTAGGGTAGACATAGATTTAATGCATATAACCTCAAGTTTAAAAAAGTAGATTTTTAACTGGAATATTTCAGTTTTTTAATATTTTTTTAACAGTTTTTGAAGTAGTTTGAAATCTACTTTTTGTAATTTCCAACTGATTTCTTTTAATTTGATATTTACGTAATATAATGCAAATTGTGAACCCACATTTCTAAAATTCGATTTTTGGTAGAAATATTTCAAAAAATAAATTTTTTTAAAGAATAATTGAAGTATCATCTAAACATCAACATGTGATTGACTAAACATAATGATATTTTAAAAGGATGAAAGCGATCAAAGA